CGTCTATGGGATTTGAACTCTAGACCTGCCACTTGGGGGTTGACAACCTGACCACTTCACTAGGTCGCCACACCCCTAGTTTCTTTTTATTAAACCTTCTTAATTGTTTTTGATCTTATCAATTTTTTTTTTTATAACTACTAATACTAATTTTATTTCTAACCAATCTCTAATTATTACTGTTCTTAATAACTTTAATCTAAATCCTAATAATTTTAATAACTAATCAATTTGATAATATTTCTAACAAACTTTTTCTTTAATCTTATTTTAATGTTTTTAAACTAAACTCTAATTCTATATATAACTAAATTACAAATTTTTCTATTATTAAATAAATACAATCTAATAAAAAATTGCAAATTATATTTTCTTATAACTTTGATTTTAACAAAGAAATTAAACCTGTTATTGTTATTTAATTAGTACTTAAAGCTTTATTCTGCTATATTATCTGTATCATAACTAAGTAATAGTTTAAATTTTTAACTAACTTGATTTACAATAGCAATTTTAATAGTAATAAAAATATTATTTTCTTTTTAACCTTTTTAAATCTGTTTTCAAAAAATCTTGTTCTTAAATTTATAATTATTCTCTTTACTAAACTTAATTATTTTGAAATCTTTTCTTTATTAGTTACTATTTTTTTATATATTGTTTATAATTACTTTTAATTTTGTTTTAATTTTGTATGTTATCTCTTTTTATTTAACTACTAATTAATTAATTATTAAAAATTTACTAAAGCTTACAACTTAGATCCAAAAAATTTAAAATTAAATCTTTTATTCAAACTACTAATTTTAAACAAATATCTTAATATTTAGTCTGATATTAAATTTAATATTAAGTTTTTTTTAATGTCTTTAAAATACTCTTTTTTAAATAATTCTGTATCTTTTTATTTAAAAACTCTCTTGATCATTTGGAAAGGAGTCAATAGAAATGCACTATATTTTTTCCAAGTAAATTTTTTTAAAACTTTAAACAAAGATAACTTAATAATAACTTTATCAAATTTAATAAATTTTTTTTTAAAACAATCCTAAACATTTATAAAATTTATTTAAAAAAAATTATTAAATTTGATTAAGTTTTTGCTAAATTAGTTTTGTTTAAAGATTTTAAAAATTTTATTAAAAATAATATAATATGTTTTTATTAACTAATCTTTAGTTTAAAACTTATTTTTTTTTTTATTACCAACTATTTTTTTCTAATATTGACAAAAAAAGTTTATATCTCTTTTAGAATCTAATTCTGTTAACATTTTATTCTCCAACTTTCTAAATCTTATATATTTTAAAAACTTAATTTATTTTATGAATAATATAAAGAATATCTTAAGTTGCTAACTTCTACTATCTTACTTGTAATAATAAATTATACTAATACTTTGATAACAAAAATTCTATAATAATACTAAGCTCTTTAATAATATTTTAAATAAATCTTATTTAATATTTTCTTAGAATAATAAAATATGAATTTATCTAACTCTTAATACTATACTATTTTATAAAAATAAAAAATATGTTATCTTATTCAATTAACTTATTTATATCAAAGCTTTAAACAAGTTCACTAATTAAACTAAAGACTTTGTTTGTAAACAAAACTAAGTTAAAATTAATTCTAAATATTACAATTACTAGTTTTATTATTATCTTTTTTTATATTATTAAACTATTACTAATATACAGTTTCTTTTAAAAAAAAAAGATAATTAATTTTTTAATAAAAATATTATTAATATTAAATTTTTTTATCAAATTATTACCTACTTTGATATTATCAAAATTAAAAATTTATTTACTATTTAATAACTAAAAAATTTTTAACAAAAAATTTAAACTTAACTTTCAACCAGTTTCAATTCTTGACCTACTCTTTTTACAATTTTTTTTTTAAGTTTTTTTGTCTTTTACAACTCATATCAAAATAACTACCATCTTATTAAAAAATACAACTATTGTAATTAATAAGAAAAATAAAATAAATAAGTAAGTAAATAAGTTTATTTATATAAAAACTAGAATAGTAATGATTAGAACCAATGTATAGAGCAAACTATAATATTTTGCAGTTATAAAAGCCAAGTATATAGTAATTGACCTTGTAGAAGATAACCTTAAAGATTATTTTTAATAGTTTTAATTCTTTTTTATTACAATTTATTACTTCTTTTTTATAATCAAACTATTCAAACTTAATTCAATATATTGACAAATATAATAATAACAAAACTGTATCTAATATTATATTTTTTAATAATTTATCTTATTCTTAAATACATATATACCTTTTTAATAACTATTTTTTACCTAATTATTTTATTATTCCTTTCTATCTTTTTCTTATATTTTATAAACTTCTTCTTAAATCTAACTTTTTTAACTCTACTTCTATTTTATCTAACTTATTTTTTAACATTATTCTTTAATCTTTTAGATTATAGCTTTTTTTTATTTTTTCTGATTCAAGCTTTTATTACTTCAACTTAACTATTATTATATACAATATTAGAAACTTTAATAAACTAACAAAAAAAGAAGTTTGACAAAACTACTGTCTTAATAATTACATATTTATTGTTAATATTACAAAAACAATAATTTTTAACAAAACTAATTTTATTGTTTGCAATAATAATCTTTTCACTTATTATTGATTTAACTCTTTTACTTCTATAGAAGATATAACTATTATAATCTGTAATTATCTTATAGAAATTTTTTTTATATACTTACAAAGTTTTTACTTTAATATTATATAAATAAAAAAAAATAATCTAATATTTTTTTTATAATTTAAATATAAATATTGCAAAAAAATAATTTCTATTTTCAAATATTATTATACCAAATTTTATTTAAATATTTTAACATTTTAAAAAAGTAGATAAAAACTAAAAAAATACAAAAACATAACCAAATTTGCTTATATTAACTTACATTTTAAAAAATAAAAAAAATAAAATTTAATCTTTAAATTTTGATAACCTAATAAGATTTTAACTAATTTTAATAAAATTATTACTGTTAAAATTACAAAAACCTACTTTTAATTTAATTCTGTTTTGTAATTTTTTTAACTTTTTTTAGTTGCTTTTTATAAAAAAAGACTAAATATTGATAACTATCATATTTATAATTATGTTACAAATTAAACTATCCAAGTATATATATTATATTTTTTTAATTAAAAATTTTTTTGTATAATAAAACAGAATTTTTTTAAAAATGCAAATATCTCAAAAGCATTTGATTGTCGATCCCTGAAATTTCATTAAGTTGCTGACGAATCTGATTAAATTGGCCAGAAGCAAGTAGCATCGAAGAATAAAATTTCTTTAAAATTTTATTGTCTGTTTGCTATAAAAATTTATGAATTACTACTTGCAAGTCATAAATTTATATAGCAAACAAACAATGAAATTTTAAAGAAATTTTATTCTTCGATGTTACTTGCTTTTGGCAAATTTAATCAAATCTAATCAGATTCGTTGTCATATAATCAATTACATTTTTATATATGATGTTATTATGATCGACAACCAACCAAATGGATTTTCCATCATGCTTATCTCAAAACTTCGGTTATGAGGTTCTAATAAAAAAAGTTTCTTGCTAAATTTTGCATATAATTATAATCTTGTTATAATCTTAGACCTCGCCCTAACCCTAAGTTAAAAAAGTTACATTTTTTTAATAAATTTTTTTTGATTTATACCCGTGTACAAACACGTGTAAATTTGGAAATTTTCTACAAATAAAATAGCCAATATAAAAGTTTTTTTGAAGAATCCGTGAAACCAAATTCTAGAATAAAAATTTGTCCAATCTGGCCGAAAATAATAACTTAAGTCCATATGTTAGGGCCAATTGATATTTGGACTATCCAGATTGACAATCTGATAATTATATCGATATCGATATGTCAATTTATTCTTAATTTTAGCCAATAAAAACGAATTTCTCCTACTTTTTAACAAAAAAACCAAATATATTGTGATTTTATTGGTTGAAAAATAATGTAAATACACATGATAATTGATGTTGCAAATTGATTGGTTAATGTGATGTGTATTGAGTAAAAACGGATTATGTTGGCCTTATGTAAAATAAAAATAAAATACATGTGTGGAAATGGGGGTTTCCAAATTATGATTTATTATTGACAAATTAAATTTTTTGGATAATGACCGCTAAGCGAACTTAGGCATGTCAAAATTAAAAAGTGCTAAGCTACAATCACTATATTATAGTTCTCCTCATCATCACTCTCAGTACGTATCGATGAGTTTCCATCATCACTAGCATCGGCTGGTATCAGCACATCATCCCCATTACTTATCTGGGCACTCATGACAATTGCCTCTTCACCATTCCCATTCCCATCATTTCCATCATTCCCATCATTCCCATCATCAGTTGCATCATTGACAATCACATTTGCAGTAGTGTTTGCATCCCCAGCAGCCACTATTTGAATTTGTACTATAATGTCATTTTGTTGTTGTTGCTCATTAAGTTCCAAAACTGTTTCACCATCAGAGTTAGTTTCCCAATTTTCATCAGTATCAGAATTTGTTTCTGAAGTAGCGGCAACGGCAGCGGCCGCGGCTTCCTTTTCTGCAAGTTCTTTATCAAACTTTAAACAATCACCACACTTGAACGCTTGAAGATCACCATAATCAGTGCATTCAAAGCATCCATAAAAGTACCAATAATTATCACGACTTCCATGAGACGTTCCATAACAAGTAACTTGGGAATAAGCCTTCTGTTTATTACAAAAATCACACCATGGAACTTGAATCATCGCCTTTGGATTATTAGTTAACTTTTGTAATAAATTTTCGAGATCATTTTTATCATTCTGATTCCACCATATCCAGTAATCATGGTCATTATACCAATAAATTGATTGAAGTTGTAACGGGTGGGAAGGACGAAGTTTTGGAGTAGGAATCCTAGTATCCTCGGTTATCAATTGTAAGTCAGATATTTCTTGTAAGCCAGATATTTCATCATCTAATACTTCAGGGCCAAACATTTCTTCAATTACTTTTTTAACAGAGTTCATCTCCAAATTATCCTTACAAGTTCTTAAATGTAAAGATTTCAAATTTGGACAAGCATTTAATACAACACTTAGACCTTTCGTTGTAATCTTTACATCGTTTAAATATAGTTCTCTGATATAAATTTTCGTTTCTTGACGTAAGTGAGTATTAAACATAGGTGGAATTGTTTCATCAGAAATATTTGCGAGTGTATTTAAGTTTAGTTTTGACCATAAAATATCATGATTAAATATGAAATAATTTAATGATTTACAAACGCTTGCGATCGTTTTTGTACGTGTTTGAAGAGTTGTTAAAAGAAATATTTTCCCTAATATTTCAGGTGGAAGACGTAATAACATCATTTGTCGTATTGAATTGTTTAATTCAGAAGATTCCATTTTATTAATAGTGTTTGAAGGTGCCATTAGTTTTTAAATATAGAAGTAGCAAGTAGTGGATTTTATTTTTTGTTGTATGAAGTGAATAAAACTTAGATAAAGATAAGTGATTATATTCATTTTTTTTTGCGCAGTAAAGGAATTTCTTTTCCGATCAATCAACAAAGTCCGTGTGAACTGGTGATACGAGGTACAGTACATTTAGTTACTGCGTATTTAGAATAATTAAGAATAATTATAACGTTGGTCAATTGTCATAAGACCAGACTTAAAAGATGAAGTAAGCCGAAATAGCCGACAAGACCGAAATGGCTGAAATTTGACGTTAAAAGCCGAAATCCAACCTTTTAAGCTAACGAAATTTATTCATTAGAGTGTTGTTACACTATTAGGGCATATATATATAATTAATTTCTTGTTTTCATAATTCAGTCGGGTTAATTTTGAAAAACTTGTTTTTTTTGGTAAAAAAAAAAGTTAATACATATATAGTTATAAAATTAAATCGGGCAGCCAAGTCTGTTCTAAAGTTTCAGTGTTATGAAAACCAAGAAATTATAATTACATTTAATTTTTTAAAAAAATTTGCGTAGTATATATTTTAAAGAGATTGACATTATTTGTCACGCATGGTATATTGCGATTGAGTTTTATGTAATAACTATTTCAAAAATTCGTATTTTGCGTTGATTCACTCTTAGTAGCAATTTGTCTCATCTTTTCATCCACACATAATAAATCTTTAGGATCATACGTTATTTCGTTAGAGTCATTCGGTGGACATTTTGAAATTTTATAATGAAGTGAGTGCCCACGTCGAATTATTTCTTCGCTTGATACAACATTTCCAAAAAGATCCATTACTGGTAACTTCTCAAATTCCGGTAATCGATTTTCTGGTAGTCCTGTCATCACATTATTCTCACTCATTAATGGCAGTCCGAAAACAATTGGACTATTCTTGCTGTGAACGTGAGTACCTCGTTCTGCATGATTAGTAGAAAAACTGGTAAAATTATCGTAATTCGGATAGAGCATCACATATCCTCGAAGATATACAAGCTCTATGAGAAAACGTTTCCATGATCTACTCCATCTATTTGATCGGCATTCTGGAACTGTGATATTCTGCAATTTAGGTCCATCCCTATCTTTTAATCGTGCGGTCAAGTAATGATGAAATTCGCGCCATATTTCTGGAAAAAATACTGCTCCCCAACTGCACGGTACTTGGCTAAGATATGGCGTTTGACTAGGATAATCCGTTCCTTCTAATGCAAGCCTAGGGTCAAATGGCCGACGTCCCTTGAAATGTAATTCATTGACTTTAGTGTTGTAAAAACTGACTCCAAATATTCTACCGCTTAAACTTCGTTTAGGTCCGTATTTATATTTCAAGATACTGTATTTCGTCCATATATAAAAAAATGGTGAAACTTCAACATCGTCTTCTAAAATTATACCGTAATCGTCTTCATCAGCGGGATAGTACGACTCTACTATAGCTGGCAATAATCCTCCTTGAACTACGCGATGTCTAATTTCCTTTTTCCCATGTCTCCATTTAAATGTTTTACAATATTCTAACGTGACCGGGTCTGCGCTTCGATCAATATTCATTGTCATGGGTACATCATCCCCAAAATAAAAAGACGAATTTAGAGATTGTACAAGGCGAGCTAGTGAATCTGGTCGATTTTGTGTAATAACCTGTATTCGGATTTTTGGTGCGTTCCATTCTACAAATATAACGATAATAAATATATATTTTCTGTGTAATCAATAATTTAAACATGCTTGCCGCAAAGTCGGACAAATCCCAAACTCCAAAAAAAAAAAAGAAGCTATTTATAAGAAATTAAAATGAAAAACTAGATATTTTACCAATATATTTTATATATATCATTTGTTTAAAGGTTATTAAAGTTTGAGTTATTAGTTTGACCGGTGTTTGGGATTTTTTTGGACAAACCCAAACTACTCTAGTTTGGGATTTGTGCGGCAAATATATTTAACACACTACTTACGTTTAAGTGTTTCAATTGATAAATCCGTTATCCAATTCAAATGTTTCGATTCTTCTAAAGGCACCGCAATTCTAACAAAACCTTTCGTCTGCGATATTATAGCTATTGCGGTGTTAATATTGCGCATAATATTATCCTCTACATCTTTTATATGAATTAAGACATCGGTCTGAATTGTATTTAATATATTATTTATTCTTTGAAATGTTAGTGTCGAGATGCTTTCTTCCAAGATTCCATTTGCAATTTCTAGATGATAAATAAATGCATTACAAGCTTCGCTCGCACTTTTCTTCTGACCGATAAATATAACATGAGTAGATGCGTTTTCCATCTTTGACAGTTGACAATAAATAGGTTGTAGACTGTTTACTTGGTCCTCGGAAACAACAAATACGATATTATTTCTCATATGGTTGTTTGTTCCATAGGTATAATATGTATGATCCAGCAATTGTGAGGATGCCAGTCTATTTAGATGAAAAATTGCTACAAAGGCGAGCATAATCAACAAAATCAATACAATGTTTTTAAGATTCCTTGGAATCAGTATTATCTGTAAAAAGAACGAAGAAAAGGCCCTTTTTTGGTTTAGGAAGTCACATGATATTTGATCTCGATAAGCCATGTTTTACAATTGCTAACACCGGGAAAAAAGTGAAAGCAGAAAAAGAATTATTTTTAAGTAGAAGTAGCGAATTTATTCGCATAGCACATAAATTTAAAGGATAATCGATATAGTAGCACAGGCAGACCTCAAATTGAGAATGTCATGCGCATTAATACATATTTTTTGCAACTATTTTTAGTTTGACACGATCCACCATTGCATACATTGTATACCAAAGATTTCAAACTTTAAAAAACTTCTTTCCAAAATTCTTTAACGAATTATTTTATCATAATATCGCCCTTCCTTCATGATCTTAATTATGCAATCATCATAAAATTAATGTTATTCGGATTCGCATTATCAATTTTTTTTAAGTTTTGATGTATCCCAGTAATTCTGTGCATATCTTTTTAAATCCCTAGCCTTATAAGGCTAAAATTAAGGATTTTGAATGCACACTTTGAAGTTTCTTGTTAGCCTCCAGAGGATAGACAGTAATACGTCTATGAACCCTTTTGATAGCCATTTTTTTATAACTTTTAAATAATTTTATTTTTAAAAATTTATCAAAATAGTAACGGTAAAATTAGCTAACGCTAATTTAAACGTAATATTCATTCAGAAGCAGGTTGTGGTAAATTACTTTTGGTAAGGGTAAATTATATGTATCCACTTATTTTGCATCCACCTATTTTCCGAGTACCGTAAGCCAGTGTTGTATATTTGGGGTGCCCAAGCCCTTTTAAACTGTCCATCGGACCATCCGCAAGTCAGCTTAACTCTCATATAGCTATTTTTTAAAAAAGTATACTTATGCAATTATCGTTTATAATATAAATATATATATATAATATATATATATAATATATATATATAAATATAATATATTATATAATATTATATAATATATATGTAATATATATAATTTTATATGGCATCGGGATTAAATTTTGTTTAAATACGTACTAATTGAGCTGTTCAAATAACAATGGTCACGTCACCTAAGATTTATATGAATTCTTAAGGGTTACATAAAAATTTCCCGATGGTCATTTTCCCGACAGGCCATTTAACCGACATCTCATGGTGTGAAAATTCACAGATTAGATAGCCTATCGGGGAAATGACCGTCGTGAAGTTATACAATATGATATTGGTTTTAAAGACATTTATTTTCGATATTAAATACATAAACCACAAAATTGATATGTAAATTTAATGATTTTCTTTGATTCGATTTATTTTATTATTAACTAAATATAAAATTTTCTTGGCAGCATAAATTTTTAACCAATAAAAATCAAGTAACATGATCACAAACATTTTTGAGCGAGAACTACATATATAATACGAGATTTTTTATGATAATATGCTTATTATTATCGTAAAACCGCGAAATTAATTTCGAATTTGGGTCAAAATTAAAATTAATTCAGGTTATTCGAAATAACGCGAATGGTCGTTATTTCGCGATTTTATGGTAAATATGTTGCATCTAAAGTAGCTACTTTAATATTTAAAGTAGTCCTGACTATCTAATTTCAAAGGCTTAATTTTAGCTAAGCACTACTTTAAATATATAAAGTAACTACTTTAGATGCAACATATATCGATATATCTAACAGTCATAGGATATGTCAGAAAATAAAGCCTAAAATGTTGTCTATAACAAATATTATAATAAAAACATATGAATTTACTATAAAATTTGATCTAAAGATTCTTTTTAACTTAATTAAGTAACTTAAAATTAAATTTTACGATTATATAGAACAGAAAAAGTAGAAAAATCTAGCTTAAAAACTAAATTAAAATTTTGCTAATTTTGTATAATTTGAAGATGTAATTTTGTGAAAAATAAATATATTTTAATTTTAATACAATTATTATATGTAAAATTATACTCTGAACAACTTTACTTAGAAGGTTAACTTAGTGAAAAATGAGTTAGATATATATTAAGTTAAAATTTTTTGGTTATATATACATTGGCGATCATAAATAATGCAACAAAAAAAAATTTAGTCGGATCATATTATCTCACGCAATTCCGGGCGTATTTGTTAAATTTTTTTTTTTATTTTATTCGCAAATAGGAATATTATCATTAATAAAAAGATTTAAAAATTTTGTGATCAAAATTTTTTGGGAGCACGAGCTTTATTTCAATATATGTGTTGCATTATTTTTGCTCGTTTTAACAGCAACATGATTGTAAAATAAAAAAATTTTTTTACATAAAAAAAAAAATTTTTTTTTTTCTAATAATTTTTTGCTATCATCATCTGGTGTAACTGCCCTGGGTTCTAATTACATCACAGATTCATTCTGGCATTGAATGAATTAACCTTATACAGGTTTCAATATTAATTGCCTGTCAAATCATC